CGAAGCTCGAAGCTGCGGGCAAGTTCGCGTCGGTGAGCCGATGCCCTCGCCTCCTGCTCCTCCTCCTCCTCCTCCTCCTCCTCCTCCTCCTCCTCATATACTTCTGGCGGGAAAAGCAACGTCTGCGGAGCTGTCCAGGTGGTCACGGGCATACGATCTGCTGCTATCTGCGGAGCTACGCCGGCACGGCTACGCCCTCAACCCGACGAAGAACGTCAGCCTGCTGTAGTTCGTTGGCAGTGGGATGGCGCTGGCGAGCCGTGCTCTGACGTCGCATTGGCAGACAGACTGCAGATGGGGATCACACGAGTGCGGCGGCAGGTTGGCCTACGGCGGCCGAATGCATGTCGCTCCAAACTCCCGTTCTCCGTGTGTTGTGTGGGGTTCCGCGGGCGATCCGAACGCGAAGGGCGATTTCCGACGCTATCTCCGATGCCGATCGGCGTGGGGTGTTCGGGCCCACGAGTCGGTCCTCCTCCTCCTAGGGTTGGACGACCCCTAGGCGTACCCCTCCAACGACCCAGAATCTGAGCTCTAAGTAACTGTAAGCATAGCTGGCTGACTTCCATCAGCTGTGCGGTGTGCTTCGCCATCAGTCAGTGTTGGGTCCATGGTGCGTCTCGGGGGTCTCCTGGGTCTTCTTGAAGAACTCTTGGTTCGTCTTGCAGCGCCGTGAGGGCGGTCTTGGGCCGTCTTTGCCTTCTCTGGCCTCTGGAGAATGGCCTCCCCGAGTGCGCCCGATAGCTCCCAAGAGCGCCCGGAACTCGGGGCTGCGGCCCCCTGGAAGACAGACATCTTGTCTACAATATCCAGTACCTGATACAAAGGAGTAGGGGTCGGCAGCCACCATGATATTTCTGGTGTCTGCAGGCCCAGTCGCATCCAACTCTATTTTTTCCGATTTCCAGTGTTCGTGTCGCACGCCCGTCTCGCCAACTAGCCATGCGGGTCCGCCGTCGTGGCCTGCCCGTTTGGGTCCGCCTGCCCGGCCCGCCTGAGCGACCCGCTCGTTAGGGTCCGCCCGCCCCACCCTCCAAGTTTAGTCCGCCCGCCTGGCCCGCCAGTGAGGGCCCACCCGCTCGCTTATTTGAACGCCCGTCCGACCACCCCCCCGCCCGTCCGACCAGCCTATTTTTAGGATCCGCCCACCCGACCCGCCCGTTCTGCACTCCAGACTCGAAGGCGCATGCGACTAATCATTCCGTCGGCTGCTGGGTCCGTTGTTCGGGTGTCATGTCGGGCAACAGTGTGCTTGTGGGCGGACAGCGTGCCCATGTTTCCCAGCGCTCAATGTCCGACGCGGGCAGACCTCGCTCTGCGTCTCTTTTGGCCCCGCTGCGGGCGGCGTGTCGCCTCCTCGGCTTATCCTTGGCAGCTTTCGTTGGCCGCGCCCCGCTCGAAGAGCCTCGAAACGGCCTCCCAAGGCCCTTGCATCCTCCTCGCGCGTCCTCATGGTGCAGGTTGACCGTGCTCTCAGATCTAGAGGTCGCCCGCGGGGTCATCCTTGGCAACTTTCGTTGGCCGCGCCCCGCCCGAAGAGCATCGAAGCGGGCGCGTGTTTTGAGGGAGCTGGGCCCCGGCAGGCCTTCCCGGCCTTCGGGCCGCCAGGACCTCCGGCGGGCCCCCCTCCACGGCCCTCGGCGGGCCACGGGGCCGAGGGGAGCGCCCGAGGGCGACCTCGCGGGTCCAGGGGCCCGCCTCCTGCAGGGCACGTTGCCGCTGTGCCGCGGCGAGGGAAGCTCTGGCCGGGGCGACGAGGAGAGCGGGCGGTGGAGGCGGGCGGAGGCAGGGCGGGGGACGGCGGCGACGACGACTGCGACGGCGAGGGCGACGACGAGGAAACCAACGACGACGGCCTCGACGACGATGGCGGCGACGGCGGTGGCGACGACGAGCACGACAGAGCGGGGGGGGGAGAAGGACTGCCCGCCTTGCTCGGGTCGGACGAAGGCCCCGGTGAATGAAAGGGGGAGCTGCGAAACCTGCTGCGCGCAGCTGGTTTCGGTCGCCCCGATGAGGGGCCAGTCCTCGACGCATAGCCGCCTTCGGCGCCAGGAAGTGCTGGAACATCAGCGACGTGAGCTGCTTGGCGAATCTCCACTTTGCCACGTCCCCCTTTCGTCCAGCCCGCCTTGCCCATAGGCTCGCATGGCAGCTGTCGCCACCGGCGCATCGGTTCGACAGAAAGAGGGGCGCCCTGGCTCGCCCTGGCCTCCCGCCCCCCCCCTCCCCCAGTCTGTGCTGTGTGTCGTCTTCTCGCTGGCGGCCAGGCGTCGGCGCTAATCACCGGCGGGCGCCACACCGCGATTCGCCCGAGCAGGGAAACAATTTTTCCCAACCATCCTGTGGTGTTGGGTCCTCGGTTTGAAGTGACAGCGCCCCGCGTCTCCTCCTTTCTCCTCTCCCTCCCCTTCCCATCCCTTGCCTCTGCCCTCCGCCTGTCTTCATGATCGTCATCATCATCATCATCATCATCATCATCATCATCATCATCATCATC